GTCCTTCTGGACTAATCATCAGCACACTGAGAGCTCCAAAAGCCCCAAAAGTCCCCAACGCCCTGCTAGCACCACCCTGTTGCTACAGTCTGTCACACCACGTCAGCTTCTACCCTCAAACCTCCACTCACCTCAAACTCCTCCCTTCAACCCGTTCCAGCTGCCGTGTGTGGTAGCTGGTCAGCATCGTTGTAACATAAAGAAGCAGGATTTCTGTGATCGTCCTTTTTTTTTAAAATAGTTTTTTGTGTGTGTGTTTTTTTTTTAATGAGTATAAACAACAGACATGATCACTGCTGAAGTTTGGGTTACAAGTTGCTCCTAGATCACAGGCAGCACTTGTCACTTATAAGGTGTTTTGGAAAAGTATTGAAGATTTCTCACGCTGCATATTCATACAATAATGTTTTGTTTTATTCTCTCCTCATCTCATATAAATGTGTCCTGCTGCCCTCCTACCAGCCCAAGAACCTCCACCGCGTAAGTATCAGTTTAAAGGATAATCCATCACGGTCCACAGCTCGTTCACACAATGACATTGATTCATGTTTTAACCCTGTGTAATATGCCTGTGTGAAAATGTATAAAAAGGAAGCGAGATTTCCTCTGATGAAATGCTATTTAGATGTATTTTATCTCATTTAGGGAAACTTCCAGCTCAAACATGGGGAGTCTGGAGAGATTATAGCATGAGGGTCAAATTAAATCAAATTTGTTTTCTCTGAGTATTGATGAAGAAAGTCATTCTCTTTTCTTTTGATCAGACCCTTTGATTCCACCACCTTTTTTCGTGTGTTCTCCTACCTCCTGTCATTGGCTCGTTGAAAGGACTAGATGTTACAATCCCTAGTGTTTGCACCACTTTTGATTAGGAGTTCTTGACGGATGACGCTATAAGGCTTTACCAGCGGAACACATCATCAGTTGTGTACCCCAGCATCATGGGGTGTTTTGGCCATTCATCACAATACACCCTCTGCTGAGGCAGGCCCACCACAGGTTGATCAAGCCTGGGTCTGTGTCCCACAGTTAGTTGTTTGCCTTAGCAGCCCAGTTGGTGTCGCTCCTCTTCAGCAACAGCCAATGGCTCGTCCTCTCGGCGGTGTTGGCCAGCTCTTTGATGGCCTGTCCGTAAGCCTGTCCCCTGACTCCGACCTCCCTAAGGAGCTTTGCAGTTGTGCTGACTATAAAGCCCCTGCATCCCACCTCCACCGGGCACACCCTTACCTTCCAGCCTCTGTCCTCTGCCTCGGCTGCTAGGTTGGAGTAGCGCAGCTTCTTACGCTAATAAGCTTCTTCGATGGCGTTCTCCCAGGGAACTGTCAGTTCTATGATGTAGGCAAGCCGGCAGGAATTAGATCAGAGGATGAGGTCTGTTCACAGGGTGGTTGTTGCAATTTCCGGAGGGAAAATGAGCCTCTGGTCTAGGTCGACTTGCATCTGCCAGTACCTGGCTGCATTCATTGGGGCCAGATCAGGGTTTGAGGGGCTAACTCTCGGCTTTCCCCCCTCTCGAACAAACAATGGTGGGTGCCGGCGCGCCTCCTGGATGTTGAAAGGTTGGGCGTTGATGGATGCCCTCTTGCTCTCAAGCTTATCGGCAAGACACCTGAGGACCTGGTTGTGTCTCCACGTGTATCTGCCTTGAGTGAGGCTCGTCCTACAGCCCACCAGGATGTGTTTGAGTGTTGCAGGGGTTGTACACAGGGGGCAAGATGGGTCCTTTCCAAGCCATAGCTGCAGATTTGCGGGAGGGGGCAGCACATCATATGTAGCTTGAACGATGAAACTCAGCCTGTTAGATTCCATGCCCCAGAGGTCGTTCCATGTGAGTTTTCTCTTCTCGACACCCTCCCACCTCGTCCAGCCTCCCTGTTTAGCTTGTGCTGTGGCTTTGAAGCATCTGGCTGCTTCCTCCTGTCAGTGCACATCCTCTACCACCATGGTTCGACGTTCGGTTGCAGATGCCTTTTGCCAGAGCGGTGTTACAGCTCCAAGGCCAAAGCCTCCTCTGCCTTATTGGACGTGGCCCACTACGTCCCGATAGAGGAGAGCAGATTTGGCTTGTAGCACAGCTGTGGCTGGGGTTCACTTCCTCCCTGTTGCTAGGGTAGGAGCAGCGCCTCTCACCACGGGGTTCCGGGAGTCACTGAGGGACATATCCAGGCTCACCTTGGCACACTTGAAATCCTCAACCAGACTAGATATTGGCAGTGACAGGGCTCCGTTGCTGTAGAGTCCAACGCTGCTGAGGCATTTGGGAAGTCCAAGCCGCTTCCTCACGTGGAAGTTCACTAGCCTTTCCAGTCGATTGGCATGGTTAATCAAAACCTCGTGGCCACAGGAGTCTGGGTAGCAGCCCGAACTGGTAGCACCAGAGCTTGAGTTTCCCCGATAGTGCAGTGTTGTTGATTTGCTTAAGGCCGTTAGCCAAATCCTGCTGGAGTTGCTCAAGTTGCTAAGTGTCTTTGAGGTCTGCATTATACCATCATCCAAGGCTCTTAATGGGCTTCTCTAGGATTGTTGGAATTGGTTCATTGCTAATACAGAACTGCTTGCCTGTTAGTTGGCCTTTGACGATAAAGATGCTGCGTGACTTGCCTGGCTTGAACTCCGTTCTTGCCCACTGGATGTTTTCCTTGAGTTTCTGAAGCAAGCGTGTAGTGCGTGGTTTTGTTGTTGTAATAATGGTCATGTCGTCCATGTAGGCTCTAATTGGCGGAAGACGCAGGCCACTGTTGGTCTTCTCGCCTCTCACTACTCAACGAGATGCCCGTATGATCAGCTCCATTGCCATGACAAATACCAGAGGGGAAATTGTGCAGCCTGCCATGATGTCAATCACCAGATGCTGCCAGGTTGTGGTGTTGTTCTCAGATGTTACACAGAACTGGAGATCCTGAAAGTAGCTCTTGACCAAATCTGTGATGTGGTTTGGTACGCTGAAGTAGTTGAAGGCCGTCCACAAGATCTTGTGAGGGTCTGAGCCGAAGGCGTTGGCTAGGTCTAAGAAAACCATGTCTAGGTCTCGCCGTTCCTCTTTGGCAGTTTGTGTGTGGTGCCAGATGATATTGGCATGCTCCAGACATCCTGAGAAACCCTGGATCCCAGCCTTATGCACTGATGTATCAACAAAGTTGTTTCTTTGCAAGAAAGCAGAGAGCCTTTGGGCCAAGACACTGAAGAAGATCTTACCCTCTACATTCAGCAGGCTGATCTGGCGAAACTGGCTGATGGATGACGAGTCCTTCTCTTTGGGGATGGCCTTGTCATCGTCATTGATTAGCAACTGTGTGCTAACTAGCCACTATTCACTATGGTATTTACATACAGGCCCTCCCTACCCTCTGACATACCCTATAAAAGGTGTAACACTGCAAATGTTGAGGGTCGGTTTACCATCACAGACCCATGTTTTGTGTTGGTAAACCCACTATATACCGGAATACTAATAAACACCCACTACAGCAAACTTCACATGAGGACTATGGTAGACGTTCTTCAACAGTATAAACAATGGACTTTAGCACTGCTGAGGTTTGTGTTCCAGGATGCTCATAGATCACTGATAAGATGCATTCTACATATTTATGTATTGATGTTTTGTTTTATTCTCTCCTCATCTCATATAAATGTGTCCTGCTGCCCTCCTACCAGCCCCACCACAGTGTGAGTATCAGTTTAAAAGATAATCCATCTTGTGTTTCACACACCTGCAGTAATTGTGTCTACAGTCTGAGTTTCTTACCGACTTTACACTGAATACAGTGAACATGTGACACATATGCTCACATATACAGTGAAATGCATTTTACTTTATTTCACATGAACATGAACAAAGTGTCTTGGATGTAAAACTGCCACCAGATGGTTTATATGAACTACGATTTAACAATCTTGTTGATTTTGTGTGCAGGTTCCTACACTGTGAAGTCCATCACGTTTGGCCTCCAGATTGACATGAGTGACAAGTCCACTGCTGGTAACTACGTCTTAACTCTCACTGAAGAAGGCGAGAGAGAAATTCAACAGAAGTTTAACAGAAGGTCCTCAAGTCAAAGCTCAGCGCATGACATCAAACACCTGAAGCCCTGCACCACATATCAGCATCATGTTGCATTTATCAACTCTGNAACTTATACTTTTTGCAGGCTTAAAAGCATTTCCATTAAAATTTAAAATCACAGAACAAACACAGCCACAAATAACAGCAGCTTAGCATCTGTAGCGCTTCCTGTCAAACTTACAAACGTACTCACACGTCGGCATGGGAACTGTTGTGTTAAGTCTGAGTTTGGTTTGTCTAAAGTTTGCATTTATACAATTCAATGGTCACAACGTCAGATTTATGGATTCTGTTGTTCTGATTTTTTTGGCTGATCCAAGAAAAGACATATAATGTCATTTTCCACAATCGATTATGCTATAAGTTGTTCAACGGTGGCCTCAGGGAAGCTTCATCAACGTCTAAAGAAAGACACATGTGACAGTGTGAGACCGAGTGACTGCATTCAATGCGAATCACAAACTAGACCGAGGAAGACAAACACTGCAGGTGTTAAAACATGGAGGACAAACAGAAAAATAGGTGTTTCAATGCATGTCTGAGCAGCCTGGATACATGCATCAAACCACACACTTGTACATCTACACAAACCAAGTACTGAAAGCTGTACCCAACACACTTTCATCTACATGTGTGTGAACAGACTGATTAAAAAAATACCAAAAGAAAGATGTGTGGTTTCCTGCTAGCAGTAGCATATCAGAAATGAAGCTTCCTCTACCTACGTGACATGCACGTCTCAGAGCAGTGAAAAAAACCTTTAAAATCTGCTTCTTGTGCTGGTGTGTTCCAGTAGGACTGAAGTGTCTGTATGTGGCTGGATATCTGGCTCCTGGACATGGCAGCTCTCTGTGGTCTGACCGTCCTGCTGCTCTGTGCTCCCGTCATCGGTATGGCTCCATTTGATTAATTTTTTCTTAAGTTTGGTCTGTGTTGTTCTCATACTTAACAGCAAAAATGATTTAATGTTTTACATTTACACACACACACACACACACACACACACACATATATATATATATATATAAAACAATCAAGTAATAGCCAGCTTAAGGCGATGAGATCTTATTTTTTGCAATAGATTTAAATCACGGTTTTTGAAAGACGTCATGCACTTAAAGATGTTTGAAAATCGAGGAAGTCATTAAAACTATTTTATTCAGTTTATTTTCTAGTTGAATGTTGAGATTTCATTTTGTTTTTGTCTGAAACAGTTAAAATCACTTTTCTGAGACTCCCGCGCCTTGACTATAAAACCTGTGAAATGAGTCAGATTATATTATGAAAATAAAACAAACAAAATCACATTTTCTAAAATTTTATGTTACAATTTTGACATTGCCGATTTAATAAATTCTATTTTCAATAATTAGAAATAATAACGTATCGTTGTGGATTTCTATTAAGACTCTGATGTTTTGTATTTGTATTGTTGGCATTAGAATTTCACAGAACAGGGAAACATGTTTCCAAACTGTACATATGACAATAAACACTTTGAATTTTTGATAATTCAGCATAATCACAGCAGCACAAGATGACTGATTTAAAACCTCCCGTCTGCATAAAAACCGACTTTATTCACGGCCTACAGTAACATCTGTACTGCCGTGTTCTCTCCATTAGTTAAAAAAGAAGAACTGTAGACAATCAAAAGAAAGAATTTATTGAACTGAAAATGTGGGTTTTTTTTGTCAAGACCAAGTTGTGCGCTGACTGGAAAAATATAAAAACTGCACACTGGTGTTGATGAGCATCGCATTACAAAAAATTACATATTTATATATATAAACAGTGCAGGTTTAACATTTTAAAACCTTAAAGTTCATACCGATAATTTGGATAATACTGTATAAACACTTTGAAAGGTAGGTAGTGTATATTTTACCCTCTAATGTAACCACTATTTTAACTTTAATTAATATGATTCAGTTATATAACATGTTGTTTTCTTTTATTGTCCTGTTGCAAATAATGCGAAAACAAAAAGATTCAAATAAAGAACAACAAAGTTTATCGCAATAAAAAGAACAACAGGATGCAATTTAAACAACTAGAAAGTGTGATAGTCAAAGAGATTTCTTGTCATGTCTCTCCTCCTTTAAATGTACATTTTATGCTCTTCAATGCAACACATTTAATTTGACCTGAATTAAACAGTTAAGAAACCCACAACAACTTCTCTGAAACTAAACCTACAAGATTAATGGAAGGCAGACTCTTTATCTCAAACCAAAGCGTTGCATTTAGCACCACATAAGTGTGTGAAGTTGTTCCTGTTGCAGACAGAGATCATTTATTAATATACAACTTTGTGCAGTAAACAGCCACACTCGTGTGAATACGGTCATTTGTTGTTCATCAGTTAATGGTTGAAGAATAAGAACGACTGTAACTGCTGTAATGAAGGAAATACATCTGCCTTATTTGTAAAGGTTTTCAAATTGTAAGGTTTCTTTTTAAACCTCCAAAAAACAAAATTTCTGGATTTTCTAGTTCCTTCACCTACAGTGTATTAGTTAATTTTTAAAATATACTTTTTTGGGTTTCAGTCCCTGCAATGATGATATAAAAGATGATTCAGAATTAGTTTTTTAACTGCTAACACCCCTTTGTCGACAAACAGCATCTTTTCATGTGTCCACTGTTGGCCCCTGGTTAACTTTTCAAAGGTTTGCAAGAGAACAAATTCACAACCAAATTCCAGCTACTCTACTCCAGCCGTGTACAACAACTGTCTCAAAACTCCGTCACACATCTTCTTCTTCTTTTTTCACTTCATCATGAATAAGGCCGGTTTAGAAACACAGAGGCAGAGACNAACAGAGACACATTTGTGCATCACTTGTGTATTTCAGGGGAGGGTGACGTTACAGATGACCACTCCAAGCCTGGATTTGTTTGTTTCCAAAGCGATTGGGACATCAGCTCTTCAGTATCAACACCAAATCCAATTACAGCTGTGCAATGCCAAAATGAAACCTGCTGTGTCAAACCGGACTACGAGGACATTTGCTCAGATTTTACAGCGACCTTCACTTCAGGAAACTGTGTGAACTCTTCCTTTACCCGCACCACAAACATCCCTGTTGGTATGTAGAAAAGGATTAACCTTCATTTTGAAATTCATGTGATCAGACTTCAGATCATCAGGTTTTATGTCTGTTTGTTAAATCCTCACATTTCTTAGATCCAAGTGAAATAGACCAACCACGTCCCACTGGACTTCCTGCAACAATTAATCCAATGTTACCTCCAAACTGCAGAGATCTCACAGTTGATTACACCTGTTCAGGTAAGTGGAACGACCAGAAGTGGAGACTTTCAGCAACATTATAAGAAGATTTACATGGAAACAGATGTACAGTTTAAACACTAACACTGTATTAAAACAGTCAGCAACGGTGAAGGTCTGTTTTACTTCAGACTGAAGGTCTGAATGGTGTTTTTGCTGTGAGAGGACTGAGCTGCTGCTTTGTGCTCTCTGGGATTCTGTTCTGATTTTTTTCCCTCAGAATTTGTCTAAAGTTGAATCTAAACCTAAAGGACAACTGCTCATCCACACTGAAATACTAATTCCAGTTGCTGTAGAAAACATGTCACACTTGTGTCTACTCAGAAAGTGGAAAAGCCTCCAAGAACCTGTCTGAGCTGGAGCCTTTCACAGACTACAACTGTACGGGTCTGATTAAGGTCAATAACATCTTCATAAATAAGATAACTCCACCGATCCCCGTCAGGATCGACTGTCGTAAGTTTGATATTTACTCAATGGAGGTAAAGTTTGTGTCCTCAGACAGTGAGGAGCAAGTCCCAGTAACAGGTAGAGGATTCATTGTTGCTGATATCAACGGTGTCCCAACAGGTTTCACAATAAAAGAAACAAAGAACAAGATAAGCAACACTTCCATTGAGCTGAACTGGGAAACAACCAGTGAGAACTGCAAAGTTGACCTCACTCAACTTCCGAACCTTTCTCATATCTGCAGCTGTGGGAAAAGTAAAAGTCAACGTAAGTAAAATAACTTGGAGTCACTCTGCCTTTGTGTTCTGTTCACAGCTGTGTACTTTTAGGACTTTGTAGAGACTAAATGTAAGTGTTTAAGAGTGCATCCACGATAGGACCAGGCGGGGGTGGCACAAGCCATCTCACCAATTTCAATGAAACTTTGCCAGTTTAAAGGGGTCCACCCAAAACTACTTCAGTCTAAGTTTNTTCTCAGTGCAGAAACCAACGGGTGACATCACGGTAGCTACGTCCATCTGCTATACAGTCTATGATTGTGATGTGTCGGTCGTGAACGAACCCATTCAAAGAGCCCACTCTTTAAAGTGAACGATGGGAGCCGGCTCACATTAGTGAGCCGTTCTTTGCCCCGCCTACAGACCGAGAAAAACTCTGGCAGAATGACTGGAGGAGGGGTGCTCCATGCGTGCAGTGCATGAAATGAGAGATAGTATCTCGTTATTTCGAGAAAACAGCTTGTAAAAAATAAACATGTCCTCGTAGGGCCTCCGTAAATCTATGGTTCTTACTCAGGTAATTTTGTTTTTGCTGCTATTTTGTTCATTGTAATACAGCTGTTTCCTTTTTTATGCTATTTATTCTTTTATTTATGTTTTATGTTGTTTTATATTTATTTGTGTTTAAATAAACAATGAAAATCTCAATAACTGTCCTTTTTTATTTCTATGCTTAGGTTTTAAAAGATGTTTGTATCTGCTTTGTGTAGCAGAGTGGTTCTACAAGCAAGTCAGTGTGTTCATTGGGTGGTTTCAGAGTTACAAGGGTCTGTAAATAAAATGAAAACAAGTGGCTACAGCAATTTACTGTTATTAGAAAATGTAATTTTTACTTTACGACCAAGGATGTATTGAATTATTTAAGAGGTATGTGTATATCACAAGCCAAACAACGCTAAATTTGGCTGGATTAGAAAATGTATGAGTGGTGAATTGAAGAGCCGTTTGGGAGCTGAAAGAGCCGGCTCTTCTTGGTGAGCTGAGCCGAATGATCCGGCTCACTCAAAAGAGCCGTAATTCCCAGCACTACAAATGTAGCCTGCTGCAGTCCTCTAGACTCTGACTATGACCTCCCAAACCTCACCGACTTTGGGCTGAACTTCAAGACTCTGGCTGAGATCTGTTCTCTTCCTACACCAACACCCAAACCGACACACACAGCATCAGGTGCTGTCCAAACCACACTTGATGTCGTAGAGCCAGTTTTTAAGTCCAAACTTGAGCACATTGTTGACACAGAGCAACCTGACAGTTATGTCATC